TACTACTACTAATAATAATAATAATAACGATAATGATAATAATAGTAATGATGATGAGGACAATATTACTGATAATGATAAGGATAATGATAATATATTTGAGAATAATAAAATGAAATCATTAAGGTAAATGATAATTCCAATAATGACAATGGCAATAAAAATGGTGGCATGTAATGGAATTAAAGATGATAATGTAAATAATGGATATTAGAGCAGTCATAATTTTCTGCTTTTATTGATGATGGTGACTGTAATCAATATAATGTTGAATGACCGAGGAGGACTGGCAATGTGTCAGTGGAGTAGTTTGAGGACAGTAAGTGATTGTTATAAAACTTTTAAATACAAAAGGGAGTGAAAAAAATAGCAGCGTCTATGAGTGGCGGCCTGTAACCATGGCAACGTTGTGACGTCACCTGTAACGGACACATTCCTTTAGCTTTTTATAATTATTCTGCTTCGGAATAAAGATTTCAAATACTAAAAAAATCGCGAAAGATATATTAATGAGTACACACAATTCAAACTAAGTGAGAAAACAGATGGATGTAAAATAACACACATTCTATTTATGATGATGTTCATAAGGTCGTGTTTTAGCACTCGCGGTACTGAAAAACTTACCTTAGAGCGTGAGCCAACGTGTTATCGAATCCCAGTATAGAAAAACGGAATTCCCGCGTTTTTTTTTTTTTTTTTTTTTTTTTTTTTTTTTTTTTGTAATGGCGAATCTTCTCAATTTTTGTGATGACTTGCTCTTTGTAAATCATGGTACTCGTTACATGGCATTCTAAGTTTTACTCTTATCTGCGTGCAGAATAAGACAATATATACGTACATATATATGCATGTATATGTGTGTGTGTGTGTGCGTTTAAGTACATTCAAATGTGGCTATGTGCTCCATGAGTGATACGCATTTTGATACTGCATTGCAAAGGATGCTATTACACATTTTCAGCACCACATAACCTCCGCAAAATGTACCGCTGAAATAGAAACGAAAACTGGGTCCGCCCACCATTTTTTTTTAACTCTGGTATTTCGACCCCTTCCGCCCTAGAAGAAAAAATATAAAAAAATGGATATAAAAGAATGTAGCACTTCGAATACATACATACATATTATATATATATATATATAATATATATATATATATATATATATACGTATGTATGTATATATACATATATATACATATATATATGCACACACACACACATATATACATATATGTGTGTGTGTGTGTTTATTCATATATATACACATATATACATCATATCACTTTTGAATTCAGAAGTATTCTCCACACAGCAGTTTTGCTTGTCATAGACACACGGGGCATTTCTCCGAATTTTGGTGAGCGGTCATGCTGAAGGCAGCGAGGCGCGCGATCGCTATATCGGGGCACTGTAAGCAGACAGAAATCAGTTTGTAAGAAACAGACATGTTTATGTAATTTAAGAGACTTCTGTGAATATCCCCGAACCCTTGTCTTTCTTTTTTTTAAAGAATTATACGAACCATTTCTATTTGTAAAAGGAGTGGTGACTCCTGTCCCCCCGTGTTAATGTTACTGAATGCACCAGATCTTACCGTTAATGTATTTTGGTCCGTTTACTGAATACGAATGGTATGAAACATCTTCCGAAAAGGTACGAGTAATTTGTATGATTAAACATTTTCACCCGTTATAGCGCCTAAGCCTTTGGCAATATAGCGTAAATTGCTATGCATGTGCTTGTGGATAATGAGTCTATCTATCGTTCTTTTATCTATCTGTCTGTATCACGTAGTTCATCCCATTCATATCTATATATCTATAAGTATCATTATACATATACAATGCATGCATTTCCTTGCCGAAATGGATATAAGTGCACTTACGCGAATCTTAAAAATAAGAGAATTATGTGCAAGAATTTTCCTTCTTGTACAACGAACACAACAATGAAGAATGAGAAAATGCTGCCAACAAATGCCCGTACATTTCAACACAATTCTAATGTGATTATTAATCTTCGCTTTATTTCTGTAGTATTTGAGGGCTGGTTTTGATAACCATCGTGAGAGAATGATGTCATTTTTCAGAAAGGTTGAGTTTGTAATAATCCATTTATTTCTCTACTCTTTCTAGCAACACTCTCAGCCTAGCAACAGCTAGACTTGCCAAATCCATGTGCCCGATTTTCATGACAACAACCGTAACCATATATCGTAAATTTTTGAATAATCGTTTTGTAAATATGTGATAATTTGGAACGCCGAGAAAAGGACAGTACCTTCTAGTAGCCAGAAATCTTTATTGCGCAGACTATCGGACTTTCAGGTGCTCATGGGGAATGTCTCTCTTAAAGGATCCCGAAAATAGTCTCAATTGAGATCAGACTATGTAAATACTCCGGAAATGCACCCCGTGCATTCATAAGAGCAGATAATAAAAAAGATTAAAGTAAAAAATAGAGACTCCTCCATGGCTGCGCGTCCCGACCGTCACTTGTCCCGCGCTCGGAGAAAGACGCGCGCTGATTGGTCCGTTTTGACAAGCGTCGTTTACCCGCCATTTCTCCCCCGAGTCGATTATATCCAGGTTGAGGAGGATTTTCAAACGGGAAAATGTCCGACGACGAAACAAAGCCACAGATGGAGGAGGTAAGTGTCGCGTGCAGGTGTGATGGGCGTCGTGGGCGTGTGGGCGTGGGGCGGAGAGGGCGGGAGGCGGACGGCGAGGGCGGGAGGAGGTCGCTGCGGAGGGCGGCTTGAGCTCCCAAGACCTCTTGCAAGGACTCCAATCAGACTGAGAGAATTCATTAAAAATACACTGACCCTTGACCTTGAATGAACTGGAGGGCGGCCTCAACCCCCTCTATGACTCGAGCCTTGACCTCCTGCTGACCTGGAGGGCGGCCTCGGCACCTTCCTAGACCTGATTCTTGACCTGCCTTTGACCCCATGCTTACTCTGACCCTTCCAGGAGGTCAGAACCCTCAAACCCTCGCCTCGCCCTCGAGGGGAGAGAGGACGCTGGTCAAGTGTGGTTTCCCACTTGGCCGAGGCGGGATAGGCCTAGCTTGGGGTTCGAGTAATGAGAATTTCGCTCTTTATAGGAAGCCTCCTCATTCTTGTCTATTCAGCTTAGATTATGTTACCATTTGAACTGAAGGAGTTCAGAAATAGAGGTTAAAGTCCCGGCAGGAATTCCTATTTGTCTCATAGGCCTATACATCTACTATAAGATTTGAGTGGCAGATATTCAGTGTTTGAGATTAAAGCTTGATAAAAAAAAAAAAAAAAAAAAAATGGATTTTACTGGTCTTCTAAAACTATACTGAATTCAAACAAGGAATAATGATTTGTTTTCATTTTATTAGTTACTTCTCTTTGAGTCCCATTCTTGTCACAGTTACAAAGTTACACCTTTGCAGTGGGTGTCAGAAATGTTAAAGGAAAGAGGTTTTGCCAGAGCTTATTCTTTGAACCTCTCAATGTAAGTGCCACTCAAGTTATATATTGGAATCCGTAATTGGTCGTGCTTGTGGATATTTAGCCTACAAATATGATGTGAACTTAAAGGGATAATGTTACCAAGAACAGCACACACAGGTAGAGAGAAATGGACAGCCATTCCATGTTGGAAAACACGCAAATGCTCGCAGTCGTGCCGATCTTCAATAGTTTTAAGTCACAGCAATGATCATTTTTACTCGCACACAATTTTCTTTCTCGCAGATATTTGAATTCCATGAGAACTAACACAACTAAACAAAAAAAAAGTCCATCCATATTTAAAAACAGACATGAATAACAATCTATTAATCATCAAGATACTTCAGAACATGTAATTAAGAGTGAAAAACTATTGCTGTTGCTTGCACCACAAATGTCCTTTCCTCACAGGGTGCAGCTCATACATTGTTGCTAGCTACGATGTATCTGTGAACAACATATTTTCCAACCAGACAGCCGTCTTATTAAGCATAAGAAATAGAAGGAGAAGTTACCTCTATTTCCCCCTTTCTGTGTGACACATACAGATAGAGGGAAATGGACATAGCCATCTTATAAAGCACAAGAAATATTGTTAAGAGCATCACTGGTACAGCTGCAGCAGCCTCATATTTATGACAAAATGGTGAAAATGTTCGCTGTATATCAATGTTCAGAGACAAAACGTTTTAAGCAGGGGAGCGCTTGGGCAAGAATTCTTGGCTGAGACGCGCTGTACCATTCCCTGCTTAAAACGCTTTCCAAGGCAAGCAGGCCCTGTTCAATGATGACATGAAGTGTCTTTTTATAAAACAAATCATAACAGTCTTTGATGGGCATAGAAATATCAAAATAAACACACAATATTACATACTTTTTTAAAATTACCATAATCTCGAGATAACTTATGCACCAGTCGAGCACAAGTTTATTTCACTGGCGGTTGGTAACAGTTTGAGCGTGCAATTCAAAACAACTGACAAGCTAGCGCCACATCAAGATGGCAGAGTAAATCTACCCAAACATCTTAACAAAGCGCAATATTTTCTCCTATATTCATATAAAGTGCCTCTAAAACAATGACACACACTTCCGATTGACAGCCCTTTCATTCTGATGCGTTATTAAAACAAATTAATATCCCTGAATTAAAATATAGGCCTACCCATTCCCTATATCCGATTTTATGAGTTAGAATAACAAATCATCGAATACAATATCAACAGAAGGATGTTGCTAGAATTTTTTCAGACTTTTTTTCACTTGAAATATTCTTTATTTATAGATATATTCTTGATTTAGAGTGGCGAGGAGTTTAACAATAAGAGGTAAATTGTTCGTCTTATAATAAATTATTATTTATAAGTAAAACACTTTTTTATTAATCTCCATTATCTCCTTTTGTTCATTTCAATTTCTTTGAATATGATTTTAAGTAACATACGGGATTATTATATTCTGATATTGCGTTAACGTTCGCATTCGAAGGATCGTGACCAGTACGGTACGCGACCGACGCCATTGCCATGGTGACGGTACACTGCTTGACTTAGCAAGCGCAAGTCTAGCCATCTACGGAGGTAGCTTGAGAAAGCAAGCAAAATGCTTGAGTTAGCAAGTAAAACGCTTGAGGCAAGACCTTTCCCTACTTAAAACGCCTTTAGTCCACAACGCCCTCACACAGCCAGTTCTTAATATCCATTTTCTATAGGTCGGCATGAAGTGTTAATAAAGGGGGGGCTATAGGTTGGGGGTGGGGGGGGCGGGATACATGGGGGGCTTGGCCCCCAGTCTAGGGATTGAGTAGAAGGTAGGAAAGGTAAGGTTGGGTGTTTGGGTTAACATGATACCCTGGTTTTGGGACATAGTCTCTGGAGGGTGCATAGCTCTCGATAACACTTACCGAAATAGATTCATAAACTACACAGGTACAGTGGCCTCGTGTTTACTGTGAAATAATGAAAACATTGTTTGCATATCACTGCTCAGCGACTGTCCACAATGCCCTCACAAACCCAGCGTTCTTAATATCCATTTTCTTTAAGTTGACACAAAGTATTAATAAATGAGGGGTATGTAGGGAATGAATAGAAGATAGCAAATGTTAGCTTTAGATTTTTGGGTTTGCATGATACCCTGGTTTTGGGACTTCGTTTATAGAAGGTGCGTCACCCTCGGTAACTAATACACCTTAAAGTATGTAGGAAAAATTAAGGGTTGTTTATCCATTGGGTTAACGTTACCAAGAGTGATACATAGAAATAGAGGGAAATGGAGACTAGTTGATAGAGCATAAGAAATAGATTAATTAATGCTGGTACAGCTGCTGCAGCCTCATATTTACAGTGAAAGGATAAAAATTTCTGCTGTATATCACCGTTCAGAGACTCTCCATAACACCTCATACAACTAGATTTTCTAATGTTCATTTTCTATAAATTAGCACAAAGTATTAATAAATCGGGAGTATAGGGGGCTTGCCACCCCCTTGTCTAGAGAATAAGTAGAAGATGGGAAAGGTTAGCCTTGGGTTTTTGGGCTTGCATGATGCCCTGGTTTTGGGACTTTGTCTATAGAGGGTGCATCCCTCGGTAAATAACACTATCATTATAGCTTATAGGCTGTATGGCATTTAATGTGGTTACTTTCTAAGTGTTGATGTATCTGCTCTTGAAAGTTGTGATAATTCTTGGCTTGACCTTGACCCCTGAGTCAAAGGCATTTATGCTATTGATACTTAGATGAACCAACCAGTACTATGTATACATGGTAAGGCAGAGAAAGAACTGCTTCTTGCAAGCCCTAAGTTGTCAGAAAATACAAGGTAAAAAATTTGTTGTCTTTTCAATAAACCCATGGGATTTACACGAGTCATTACTGTTGTCGGTTTAGCTTTCCTCTCCGCAGAATGTTTTTCATAGTTAGTGTTGTTTTATGCTTTTTTTAGGGCCTTACTATAGTTTTGAAACTGCAAGTGTCCCTTGTTTCAAGATTTTGAGAAATTTTTCAAGTATTTTACAAATATATTTTATTGTTTTGATGTTCCCATCAGCTAATTAAGTCCTGAACAATGACCCCAATCTAAAAGCAGAAATGCCATTTGAACCCAAAACCTTCCAAATTCCCAAACACATGCTGTATATTTATTTCCAGATGGGGTCTCTGCCCCAGGACTCCTTTCTAAAAACTGTTTTTTTTCTAGTTGATGCTGTCTTTTCATATACTTTAACCATAACATTAAGAGATAATTATGGAAAGAGATCTTTGTTTCCTAAAGTATGATTTTTAGTGCATCTTGGTAATTGTAGAAAATTGAACCACATCAAAAATATGTGGAAATAAAAACAGTACAGTCTTATAAAAATCTTTAATGACAAACATTGCTGCATAAAGGAGGAAGTAACAGAACAGCCAGATGTTAAAAAAGATCCCTAGTTACTTGAGCAGTTGCTGCAGAAAGGCTCACAGATCTTCACAGTTTATATATTATTATCATCACTTGATCCAGTCTTTTGTAATTCTATTGTCAAGTAAGGAACCAATCCAGGTTCAATCTTGTTAGAATATACTTAATAGAGTTACATTGGCTTCTGCAGGAACACAGAAGCAACAAGGATTGCTTGATGCAGTCCTGCACTGGACTATTAACCATTTGTTAAACTACCTCTGTCGCATGTTGAAAAGCATTGTGCTGCCATATTTCTGATTTTACTTGGTTTCTCAAAGTACTCAATATAGCCAGAGCTTTCTGTTATTTTACTATGTTCAAAGATGTGTCAGGTACATATAAGTATAGACCAGTAGCACAAACATGCTAAAGATTTTTAACTTCATGCAGATGGAGCAAACAAATATAAAACATAAATTAATGGTCTACATATGTCAAAGAACATGCATACATGCTCACTCATGTACTCACTCACTTCCCCAAAAGTATCGATTTATTGTGATCTTGCTGGTAAGCATGGAGGCTCCACTGGTGACTTGATGGTGTGCTTGTATTGTGTTAGCCTTAATTGTTAGTTTTCTTAGAGCAAGTATCAAGTGGGTTAGATAGATAAGTCTTTATAGTTTTGGGGAATAATTCACATTTTTTGGGTTAGTAACAAATCATAATGGCATCAAAGTGTAGTGGAAGTTGCCATTGCTTGACCAAAGAAAATGGCACAGTAAGAGAAGCTAGACACTCTGAAGCAGTGATTCTCAACCCTTGGAAATTAACCCTTTGATAGTAGTGACATATAAGTGGCAGATGGTTAAGTCTATGATGATATGGATGGACTATACAGATAATGTGTGGATTTGTATTGCATTAGGATTTGTTTTGGATGCGGAAATTCAATCCCCAATCATCATCACCATCCATGCCTAACCCAGAATTGATACTTCAGCAGTTTTGTTGCAAGATTTAACATTTGTTGGGTTTGTATGCTGGATGAAACACCATACTCAGCATGCTTTTACTGTTTATTACCTCAGTCAGCACTTTTTTGTGTGAATCAAGCAAGGGTTTGCTTAAAAGCTGTAGCAAAAAAATAGCGGCCATCAACATTTTCTATTTTTATTTTCCCCCTTGTCTTCTGTCTGTAAGCTACATAGTATTAAGGGCACACACAAGTGACTAAGTACATCCAAACAAGGTTATAGATAACAAAGTTAGGAGTGAGAATCACTCTTCTAAAGAGGTTGCATGGGCCTGGAGCTATTGAATATAGGATTAGAAAGGAGAGCAAGAGAAAGTAAACATGGCTAGTTAGCCATTTGCATGTTAGATAAACCCTGACTGTATCTCTAAGTAAAGTTCTCTTATTTCTCATCTGACCTTTGACTGCTAAGTATCTAGAATTATTGCACAGTGGATCAGCAGGAAAGACAGTTGACAAATCTTTTGTCTATATGTAGGATGGTGGGTGAGGAAGAACAGACAACAAAAAATTGCTTGTAATAGCAGTCAATTCAAATTAAAGTCCATTACAGTAAGGGCAAACTATATGCAAAAATTGGTCAGGAAGTTTTTGGAATTGGAGAATTTTTTATTAGTTCTAAATAAGACTTGTAAACTGTAAAGAGCTGCATCCTATGGAACTACTATTGGTAGGCTTCAGCGTAGAACCCTAAGGCTAGGCACCCGCAAATAACTTCAGTGTTCTGAAACCTTCCTATGAAGCTCGTGTTAGGCCTCAGGGACTATAAAGAAGTCATTAAGGGCCATTCTGCATGAAACTTTGAATGAGTCATGTATCTCAGCCTTTACTCCTTCAAACAGTTCACTGTCAATACCATGTATCATTAGCTTGTACTTCATGTGTATATTGTATTGAAATAATTTATTCCTTATAGTACTAACAATTTGAAAGTTTGTTTATATGCATACTTTATGCATGTTAGTGTGATAATTTCTATTATTTAACCACAATTAATTGTTACTAATAAAATTGGATCAAGTGATTGTTAGCCTTTGCACCTTTGGTGTACAGACCTCTATCACATTATTTGCAGCAAGATAAGACTTAAATATGTTCCTTAATCAACAGTAAACTATTAGAGAACTCTACCAGCTCCCTCTTGGTAAAATGTACGCTTATGACTATAGTCTGCCTATTGTCACAGCTCATGCCTCAACAAATTGCATATAGATTGGACAATTTTCATTGTGTATAAAGTAAAAGAAGATGGAAAGCATGCTTTTGGTCCAGGGGAAAATAAGGGGCAGAGAAACAGCAAAGTCGGGTAGGGAGAGAACATATTAACAGTGGTTAAATGCCAAATGTTATTCTCTGTCCAATCTCAGTGAAGAAACCACTGGCATCTCATTCTGGACTTCTCCAATGCACCATGTTTCTTTTGAAGAAAAACTATAAAGTTGTGTTGAAGGCAGCAGATTTTGGGTTTAAGCATAAGGAGATCGTATAGAGTATCTTAAGTTTTAGAATGAGGAAAATGTGTAAACAGTTGTTGTGTTAGCTAATTAAAACAAAAGAGATTTGGTAAAATGGAGTACTGCTGAGTCTGGATGAGTTCCAGTTTCTTCTTTCCTGAGATTGAACAGGGGAGAGCGAGTGAGAGGGAGGGAGAGGGCAAGAGGAAAACGAGCGAGACAAAGAGGGAGAGGGTGAGGGGAGAGTGAACAAGACGAAGAGAACTTTGGTGAGAGCACCATTGCCTGGGAGTCTTGATTTTGCATATTAAACCCTTCACCGTTATAAAAATGGAAAGACACAAAATCTCCCCCCATCAAGCTCTTTTTTTTTTTAATTTTACTAGTATGATTTTTGAAATGAAAAAAAAGGTAAAAGAGAGAGAGAAAAAAAATCCAGAAAACTTATTTCAATATACCATCAAATATCTGAATGTGTATCACAGAAACACTATAAATTTTATTGTATATAAGTAAGAGTATCTTTACTAATTTTATAATGGTTTTCAGGCAACAGATAAAGTAGAAGAGAAGGAACAGGCGCAGGGGCAATACACCTGAAGAAGAGCCAGAAACAAAAGATGAGCCTCCAAAAGAGGAAGAAATGGAAGATGACACAACTAAAGTGGAAGAAAAGGAAGAGGAGAAAATAGAGGAGAAAGAGGAAAAAGAAGAAACAAAGCAAGAGACACCAGTAAAGGAAACACCTGAAACTCCCCCGAAAGAAGGTTAGCATTATTGAGCTTGTTTATCTATATGGTAAATTTGCAGTTCAATGTTTTATGAATCACCTGCTTATAATGTAGGTTTTTCCCCCCAGAAAACTAAATTATAAGTTCTGCAATGCAATCGTTTCTTTTTTTTATTATAGACCTTAAGATTGCCTAAGATTGCCTACCTTGCTCTACTCATTTCATCATAAAAAAGTTATGTTGGAGATAACTTATGAATTTTTTGCAGAATATAGAGTATATCATTGTGTTTCGTCTCATATCGTTTTAATATTTTAACGACCGCTGGGATGTACCTAAGCATGTGTAAAAATAATTGGGGGGAAACAGGATTTTTGGATGCTTGCCAAAGTTCGTTATCTGTTATTTTTCACAAAATCTAATGATGTTATATATATTAAAAAAAAAAAAAAAAAAAAAATATATATATATATATATATATATATATATATATATATATATATATATATATATATATATATATATATATATATAGTGTATACTTTGCATTCTGATGATTATCAAGTCAATCAGAATTATCATTTTCTATTAGGACAATATTCAGTAAAGGTGTCTCGTTTTGTTTTCTTTTTTGTTTATAAAGGTAGATTTTTCTGCCTGAAAAGTTTAATAAGGGAATTGAATCATAGAGACAACTAAACTAAACCAGATTTTTATTTATTTTGAAGAAATGGGAGAACTGGACGGCAATATCAGTACAAAATCGTTCTAGTTAGAAAGTCCTAGCATGAATACAACATGGCGGTCTAATTTTGAGAATTTTAACCCTTTAACCCCAGGTAAAAATGAAAGTTGGTAAGGGGACATTAAGTTTAACTACAGAAATGCCACTACTATCGGAGAAAAACAAACTCCATCCGATGAGCTAACGGGCACAAGAATGATTGTGATACGATGCCACCTACTACTTCATCCAGAACAGCTATGGGATGCACATACTTGCCACACTGCGGCATTGGGTTAACCCACTTACGACGGGTGGCCCACATATGAGACACCCGGAAAAGTAAACATTGCTGGGCATCCTGTCAGTGCAACGCTAGATTGCAGCTCGTGCTCTGATTTTGTCCCCCGTGGCAGGCAGCGCATGGGCAAGTTGCTGGACTCGTTTGTGCGCTGATTTTGAAGCCGCCCGGAAAATATTATTTTCGGCTTATAAATGTACCATCGCTAGTGGGTTAATATATAGTTATGCCTTTGTATGAACTGAGCATTTAGTTTAAGCATATGGCTGTTAGTTTTAGAATATAGATAGTTTTAAGGTTAGGTTACAGTTCTGTTCCTGAATCTGTATCTCAGAATGAAATTTATTCCCGTAATAAATAACTAAGGAGAGGGGGGATAGGTTGTATTTCCTAATGCAAAAACATTCTCTGACCTCTTATGCAACTTCCAAACTTCTTTCCCTGTTTAGGTTATCATGATTGATGATGTCAAATGCTGTGTCCAAATGGCAGAAAAGCTTTTTCGTTTTCTTTATCATGGAGTGCTTTTGCCGTGTGCTTTAAGGGGACTGTCCCTGGTGGTGGGGGAGGGTGTGTGAAAATTTGGGGGTTAAATTGGATTAGCTAGCGTATTGTGTAGGTACAAGAATGAGGAAACTACTATGTATTCATGCTAGGACTTTATAACTAGGGTGATTTTGTACTGAAATTGACATCCATATTTCTCCATTTCTTAAAAAAAAAAAAAAAAAAAAAAAAAAAAAAAAAAAAAAAGTTGTCTCTGTGGATAGATGCATTTATTAAGATTCTTAGACAGAAATATTTACTTTTTATTTAAAAAAAGAACAACAAACAAACAAATACATACCTCTACAGAATATTGTCCCTATTAAAAATGAGTTAGTAATCATCACATCATAATGTACACTAAGGAAGCTTTTTATATATATATATATATATTTATAACATCAATAGATTTACTTGAAAAATAACAAACTTTGGCAAGTGTACAAAATTCCAATGACTTTTGGTACATCTCAGAAAATCAATTATCTACACAGCCTTAGTATAGGATAGATCTAGCACAAGTATTTTTTGGAGATAAAGTTTTAAAAATGCGACCTATGAGATGTACTGAAGACTACAAAAAAAAAAGTAAAAAATTTCAACTTTTTGGGGGGTACCCCCCACCCCCCTATTGTTTTGTAGTGAGATACGCCTGTACTTTCTTCGTGTTGTTTTCATTATTACTTAAGCTGTTTTTGAGGTTGATTTCTCATAAGAGGCCCCATAATAAGTACTGCAGAAGAAGCATAGAGCATGGGAAACCTGATGTGTTCAAAATCCTGAGAACCACTTGCCACTGTTTCAAAACTATTTTGAAACCCTCATAAAAGAAAATGGTCATGAAAGCCAAATACAGCAATAGGGATTATCTGTACAAACATTTCTCTTGTGATATTGAAGACATAATTTGAGAGGATCTAAAAGTGAAAGAAAGATCCTTTTCATAATTTTAAGTGTCAGTAGGGGAAGAAAACGTATTGGTTTACAAGCAGCTGACTATGCGTGCATTTACCTCTTGGACCTAGATGACATTGTGGTCATGTCAAGGAAAAACTTGGGCAGTTGCCTAGGTGATGTGAATATGCCGTCAACCAAGCAAATTGGCCACGGCCTGGGTAACATGAGCTGCCATCATCAGCGAAGGCCAGGGTGATGGAAAAGACTTGCCATGAGTGCACAAACCTCTTGGAGTGTGATTTGACTCTTTTGGCACTTAAACAAATGTGGAATGTAACATGTGTAAGCAGTGACTGGAAGAGCGCTGGCTCCAGGGAGAACACCATTTCCATGCTGCGCACTGTATTCCTAGCTGCTGTGACCAGCGATGCAGGTTGTATTACGTAAAAATGAAAATTAAAAGAAAAAAAAAAATGTACCAAAAATAACCAAATTTTCCTTTTTTTTTTTTTTTTTTCTTTTTTTTTTTTTTTTTTTTTTTTTCTTGCACTGAGCCATTTACTATAGAGAATTGATATAGAGTCTTTGCAAGGAAAATAGATAATTATCATCTGGATAAAGCAAATCAATAGACAAATATGGACATTGGAAAATGGTGATAAGGCTAAAAAAGTTTACACAAAATAACTTTTCAAAGGGGAGGCACAGAGTCTTGTCACCGCTCATGGGTGTTCTTGCACACATGGCCTACGCGCCGTACAACTTGGATGTTGGCCACTTGCGTAACCCATTGCCCGGGGTTTTCAGCTCCATGATTTCCTTCATGCAACTGGATCCAAGGGGTTAAAGGTGGGGTTGGAGTGTGGATCAGAGCAAAGTACTGAGTTTCTTAGTAGGAGTCATTGTATGTATACATCTTCCTAAACCCTTTATCGGGCAGTAGTCCATTTGGAGGGCGATAGTCAATATTTCCAGTTGGTATGAAAAGTCTGTGCACAGACCAATCCGGGAACCTTGCCCGCATGCTGCCTGTCTTGGGCAACAAAATCAAAGCACAAGCTCCAATCTAGCCTTGCACAGGTGGGATAGATGGCCATGGTCAGTATTCCGGGTGTCACATGTGACACCCACAGCAAGCAGGTTAATATATATGATTTCTAATTGAAGATTTAATGAAATAACAGAATGGTGTGTTTGTATTCCAGATCTTTGTGTTATAGAGAGGTTTTTGTAGTAAAGAATGTGTTTTTACTTGTGTATTCACATTTATTTCAGTTTTTGAGAATCCTTTCCTTTGGTAGCCTTTGTTAACTAACTTGAATAGGCGAAGCTTTTGCTTAGCAGCTGACCGTTGCAAACATTGACATCTTAAAAAGATTTGATGATGGTGAGCATGGAAATGTTGTCTTCCTAGGAGCTAGCACTCTTCCAGTCAAGGCTTACAGACATTACATTCCATCAATGGGAATAGTGCAAAAACCCCTTTCTAAATGCCAATTGAGTGTCTTGTCAAGTACAGGGTGGTATTGGTCACACTATGCAGTATCCCCCTGTAAAGAACCATCATCCCAAAAAAAGACTGAAGTGTCTACAGTATCCCCCTGCAATAACTGTACATCAAAGACAGTCGTGGATTTTATCAGTATCATTGCATAGGCTATTGATTGAAACATTTCAAGAAAGAGGACATTGAACTTAGAAAAGCCATTCCACCTACTTTGTTTGTTATCATACAACAATGCTAGCTACCCCAATACCCATATTTCAACAAATCTGACAATAAACTTTTGAAATAGCTTATACCACTATTAGTGTAACAAATGATATTCAAAACATAATTATGAACTGATAAAGGACAAATTTGGGAGGAAGCAAATAATATAATAAGTAAAATATAATTAATTGTCAGTGAGTCATAGATTGCCAGGCTTACATATATACATATATACAAATCAATGTTTCGTGTTGATTTAATCCATAATTGTTGTTTTAATGTTCTATTATCATGATTTTGTAGATGGTATTCCATAATTGTTCTTTGGCTGTTAAATAATTTCTGAAGTGATCTGCGTGTCTTCAGCACTTCAGAGTAGGTGTTCGTTAATGTTTGTTAATCAAATAAACATTTTCTAGGCAATCTTTAAAATTCTAATGTGACACCATTCCTAGTTGTAATATATATTACTTCTGCAGAGTTATTATACCTAATATAGTATAATAATCCCCTTTTAATGACCAAGTTACAAGTTTCGTAGTAATTATATAGCAGTTTTTTGCAGTGCGAAAGACCAGTATAGTGGTTCACACTTAGTGCTATTAGAGGGGGGAATTTTCATCTAGGTTCCCCTCATAGGTGGGGAAGCATCTCACTCCACAAAGGGATCCTCAGACAGCTAAGACTAGTGTAACAGCCCCTTTATAAAGATTTTGCTACAAAGTATATATTATGATATTTGAAATACAAATTATACATACAGTGCAACAAGAAGTGGGTAAAAAGTAATCTTTGTGGGGCTGTTCAGCAGCATGTTTGTTCACGTTTACCATATTTTTTTTACAAATGGTACCATGTACCTTGTTAGCTGATGCAATGATAACAAAATGGGTATATTTATTTCAGATTTACTGCAATAGTAATCATACATCATTATTACATTGGATTGTTATTATAAGGTCTTAAAATGGAAATATTAGTTCTACTTAAATAATAACTTTTAAATGTGGCAACAGTGTGAGATAAAATCAGTAAGGATAGTCTTTGGATAGTATCATAGACAGTCTTTAACAATCTTTGAGTCAAAGACTGTTTATAGGACGTTCTTTAAATTTATTGAAGAAAATTCTATGACCTTTCATAAATGCTGCCCCAGAATGGTGAAGTTTTACATCAAAATAAGATTTACTTTGAATAAAAGTATACTGATTAGTGAATGAATGGCCAAAGAAAAGAGAACTCAACACTATCAAATATAATATTAGGCAGATAAAGGTTTTAAGTAAAAAAGAAATTGTCTTTGCCAAATTCCTGTTTACTTATTGAGCAGTCTTTTACACCAAAGCATAAATACCTCAATTTCAAGGTTTCCATTTCAGATGTGCGACCTCTCTATGACCAACCTTTAGAGATGAGTGGTAAGAGAGACCGTAAAAAGGTGGAGAGGTTTGTTCAGGAGACTAAGAAAGAAGAGCCTGAAGCCTCAGGAAAAGGTGCAGCACTCGGGGACATTCCATACATTAACGCCATGATCATGGTAAGATAAAAGCTATTGTACACCATTGTTCTTTGCTTTATTTATATGCCATAGAGACAAGGATGATTAATGCTTCTTGTGACAGAGCAGTTATACTTGTTCTGATAGTAAGCAGATAAGAATTAATAGTTACTAATGAAGATCTAATTTCAGAAAATGCAAGTAGATGACCTAAAGGTTTTACACAGAGTTGCCTACAGTCGGCCTGGAAGTGGGAATGAGGTGAAAAAGAACTTAAGGAAATTCAATGGCTTCCCATTTACAAAAGAGGATAAAAAGTACAATTTGAAATTAAGTAATGTAGAGAGGTTAGTATCTGAGTCCCATATGTTCATATGTTCATGCATTCCAGCCTACCTACCCAGCATTGCTCCTGACCACCCTTTCTCCCACCCTTTGTTTCCACTTTATAAAGTATTTGTCATCTTTCTCTGCCATCCATATTATATTTCCATTATTTTGAATTATTGAAAAACACACAAAAAAATAATATATGTTAATAACAAAAGATGCATTACATAGGCTAATCAGTGTCTCTCTTTCGAAGGATTTTAATGTCTGAGATCAAGAAGATGCTTTTGATATTGGGCTTGGAGCGCGCTGGCAACAAAGGCGAGGTTGTTGAGAGATTGATGGACTTCATGCTAAATCCTGAAGATAGGGGACGGAAGCCACCCACAGTTGCAAAGGCAAGTCTCTTACACTAGTTTTTTTTTTTTTCTTTCTTTCTTTCTTTCTTTCTTTCTTTCTTTCTTTTTCTCTTTTTTTTCAATTATGATATGTTAATTAGATCATCTATATTTTGTTCTGTATATAGCATCTAGCTTCAAGGGTACCTTTGTAAAGACCACATAAACACATTGTGAGTTATAATTGGTCTTTGGGTTTGCATTTTCCCTGAATGTCAATTTTGAAGTTGACAGTATTTATTTCTCAGTACATATTTTTTAAAACTTTTGTATAGGGGATCAAGTATTTGTGCTTGATGGAAGTATTATGACAACTTGCATGTTTGTTCACTCTTCTTTTTAATGAACTATTTATCTTGAGGAATATACTTACATAAGCAATTGATAATTTAATTGCACAGACCAAAGCTAGAGGAAGACCCAAAAAGGGAACACAAGGGAAGAAGAAAAAGAATAACACATCAAATGAGTCTGTCAAGAGCGGAGAAAGTGGGAGCGACGAGTCAGGTGATAGTGGAGAAGAGGAAGTGGAGGAGGAAGAGGAAGAAGAAAAGCCCAAGAAAACACAGAAGAAAACACCTGCAAAAAAGCCTCAAGCCAAGAGGGCAACACCAGCCAAGAAAGCAGCGCCTGCTAAGCGCTCAAAGGCCATTGCTTCTGCAGACTCTGATTCTGACTCGGATGATGAGCCTCTTGCAAAGAAAGTCAAGCAACCTCCTACGGTAAGAGCAAACAAAAAATGCATATTTTTGTTGTTGTTGATATTAGTATTATTGTTTTAACTATTATTGTTATTAGTAATATAATTATTATTGTGTTTATTATTTATTTTTATTTATTTTATGATTTTTTTATTATTTTTAATTATCAATTTTATCATCAAGACTTTCCTTGTGTCTAAGTTCCAGTTACATATTTCTTGGGTATATAATTATACCTTTGTCTTTCTAAAATGTGTTTATGCACTACAAATTACCAAATTAATAGTGAATGTGGCTCATTATTGGTGCTCCAAGTACACGTATTAACCCAAAGTGTTCAGATGGCATGATATGTATGCCATATCCAGGGAGACTTTAGTTTACTAAATGTGTTTATACATAGATGGCTCCACAAGAGCTTATAGCCATATAAGCTTCAGAACAGTTACCTTGGGACTTACCCTTTTCCCTGAGCACTTGACAATCCTTGCAAAATTGATAATATATATATATATATATATATATATATATATATATATATATATATATATATATATATATATATATATATATATATATATATATATATATATATATATATATATATATATATATATATATATATATATATATATATATATATATATATATATATATATATATATATATATTATATATATATATATATATATATATATATATATATATATATTATATATATATATATATATATATATATATATATATATATATATATATATATATAATATATATATATATATATATATATATATATATATATATATATATATATATATATATATATATATATATATATATATATATATATATATATATATATATATATATAATATATATATATATTATATATATATATATATATATATATATATATATATATATATATATATATATATATATATATAATATATATATATATATATATATATATATATTATATATATATATATATATATATATATATATATATATATATATATATATATAATATATATATATATATATATATATAATACATTTACTGTGTTGATACTATGGTAGAAAAACCCACAATGCACAAACTAGATTTATTGAGGAAAGTGAGACAACAGGTTGGATCGAGGACGATTCCGAAACTGTTGTCTCACTTTCCTCAATAAATCTGGTTTGTGCATTGCGGGTTTTTCTACCATATATATATACATATTTGTGTGTGTGTGTATATATGTGTGTGTGTGTGTGTGTGTGTGTGAGTATATATATATATATATATATATATATATATATATATATATATATATATATATATATATATATATATATATATATATATTTTTCCTTTGTTTTTATATTTTATTTGTTTTTTCCCTATATAAGTGCTCTTAATATTTTAATGTCAGTAATAATAATAACAATGTTAACACATTGATGTCAGGATGGCAAGGATACATACCATGTCCAGTGTTTTTGATTCATGAAATGATTTTTCACAGAGACGGCTCCATAAAAGCTTATTCACCAAGTAGTCAGTTACTAGACCTACCTATCTCACCTGGTGGAAATATTCTTATTTCTTATTGTTATTAGTATTGTTAATAACATGAAAATCATGATGACAATAATAACATGGTTTCTGATGGCATTAGAAAACCTCACATTTCCCTTTCGAGATGTAGGCCTAGTAGTTGGCTCCTTGGGAGGGGGGCTAAGCACTTGTGGAGTCATCTGTGTCCAACAAAATCCACAAAAGAACTACAGTGGATAGTATAAGTAGCTGTGGCAAATGGGTTAAAGTGTAAAACTGAATAACTAGTGATATGAATTTGACCATTTTTCTATTAATTTTTAAATTGCTTTCTTGATTTTCCATGTTATGTATCTTTACTTCTCTTCAAAGATGAATCAGAACACATAACTTGAGGTGTAAGCTTAATCTAGTACATATCATGCAATGAATTTGGTCATCAAGAAATTTGGTAGTCCTTTAAATGAAGCTACTATTTTTAGTTCTTTAAATGAAGCTACTATTTTTAGTTCTTTAAATGAAGCTACTATTTTTAGTTCTTTAAATGAAGCTACTATTTTTAGTCCTTTAAATAAGCTACTATTTTTTGTTCAGGATGTTGAGCTGAAGGCAATGGTGAAGAAGATCTTAGATGGCGCCAATTTAGAAGAAATTACAATGAAAAGTGTTTGTCGACAAGTGTATGATAATTACCCCGACTTTGACTTAACTCACAAAAAAGACTTCATAAAGGAAACAGTAAAATCAGTAAGTATTAATTGTTTATGTTGTTAGTACATATCAGTGAGGACTTCAGAGTTGAAGACCACTTGAAATTCAATTTTTGTAAATGATTTCATATGGAATTGAAGATCAGTGCATTATGCTAACGTAAATTTGTTCTTTTCTTTTTCAGATTATTTCGTGATCAGTTGGCACAACCAATTTTACCATAGTACAAAGTGTTCATATACTTTTTTTTTTTCTTCTCTTTTATTTCTTTGTTTTTCTTTATATTTTTTTATATATACTAATGTCAGAGATAGCTATTTTCCAAATCTAGCAAAATTGCTACTTTGCAAATCTTTTAAAAGAGAGTTGATTAATGATAATAGTAATCAATGTGGATGAAATTTTGAGGCACATTTTATGCAAAAAAAAAAAAAAAAGAAAGAAAGAAAATGAACCACAGTTAAGGTTACTAAGTAAATTTTGTAAACACTTTTCTTTATAAACTAAACAAAAGTAAGCTATGTATATGTTTTAATATGTTTGAAGGTTGCCTCTTCTATTATGCAGGTTGCAGCTAAATGTAACAAATATCTTATAATGTCCACAAAGCATCAAGAATGACACAGGATCCCTGCAAACATGGGTTCTGTAGTAATCCATTTCATGTCTTGAGCCCATCTTGACAGTCGTTTGTAGTGTATTTGTAGGAGCGACGAGTTTCAAGAAGGCTTAATGTTATAGGCTGTGTGTTACTTGTTTGGTTAGAGAGTGAGTACTGTACCTCCTCATGCTATGAATACGGAAATGGTTACCTGTATTTTTGCATTTTTAACTTATTCAAAAAGACTTGATACAAGGAGAAGCTATATTTGGTTATTTCTGGAGAAATGGAAAGAATCCAAGAAAAGAAATAACAAAACAGACATACCTAGTGTTCCTTTTAGGTAACTATTGGTATATAATAATTGTAAATGGAACACATACAATTTAGAAATATTCCTTGTCATAAATTCTGAACTTGAGAGATTGTTAACCACCCCTTTTTTGTTTTACTTTTTAATTTTTTTTCTAACTGCTTTTATTACACTGTTTTTAGCCTTTTATTTTCCAGATTGCAGGATAGGAAAGTCAACAAAAGCAAAAAAAAAAATTCATATTTGTTAAATGTGCCATTTTTCTCTCTTTTTTTCCCCCACTCAGACCTTCTCACCACAAATTGAAAAGCAAGATTTACCCAGATCACCATATCCTTTGTAGACTGTAGGAGTGACACTTACAAAAAAGTATTATTTTATTTATGCAACATCCGCCACTGTCAAAGAGGAGGAATCTATTGAACAAAAAAATTACATCAGGACAATGATTCAGTTTAATGTGATTAATTGAGAGCAGAAAAGAAAAAAAGAAGAAAGAAAGAAAAAAAGATTTTGTACATCTTTTTTAAATGTGCCCGGAAGTCCGTATAAATTATATTTTTTTGTATGGTAATGCAGAATTGTTCTCTTTTTTATGTGTGTGTGATAATTATTGACATGCTTTTTGCTCTAACATCCAAGTTATTGAAGAGAGAGAGAGAAAAAAAAAAGATCAGAAGATTTTGAGGGATCTTTTAGAATGTCCTTTAAGAAATGCCTATTGTATCTCTTGAGGTTGTATACATCTTGATTTTCTTTTGATTTTGATTTTTTTAATTATTTTGTTTTTATTTATTACTTTTCTTGAAGATCTGTTGTCCTTATTATTGAGTACTTGTTGGTTTGTTAATCTATCTTTTTAAGACATTCACCTGTTATTGATTTCATAATGTATACATAGTGGTTATTATTATTATTGTTGTTGCTATTATTATTATTATGATTATTATTATTATTATTACAATTGTTGTTGTTATTTAAAAGGCAAATGTTAAATGCATTTTACAGTGATTCACAATTTTTAATCCAAATTATTGTTTGCTAGCTTCAGTGTTTAAATAATTATTCCTAAAAATTGAAAGAGTTTGGGGACATAGTCAGTGATGACATATTTGCCCATGACCATTTTTGTGCAAAGTCACATTTGCATTAGATTTCATGTTGCCCTGATGAATCATCAACATTTAAAGTAAAACTATTTCTTTGGTTATGGAAATAATTTGCAGTCAGGACTCTGACCATGTGTTATGATAAAGACTGTTAGAGCATAAATTATTTGGTCAGAAAACTTGGTTGGTCGAGTGTGACAGGGCATCTAACCATTAGTAATTTTAATTGATCAAAAAGTTATAAATGTGGTACAGGTTTTTAGTTTATTATATTGATCAAAGAGTATACTGCCAAAACATAGCCCAATTTTATTCTGACTAAAAAGATGGATAACAAATGCTAACTTGGAAGTTTTAGGTTCTAAAAAGCAGCTCAAAATCTCTGATCTTTTACATTTACAAATTTTACCTACCCCTTTTTTACCAGATAAGGTCATGGCAAAATGTAAGATTATTCTAATAAAGTAGGTTTTAGATACAAATTGGTTTCAAGTTCCTTCAGTTATAACCGATTTTAAGTTATCGGTTGTTTTCTTGTTTCCTCCCCAATTCCATGTCTGTTGTTATTTGGGGAAGGGAGGCACATTTTCACTATTTTTACCAAGTAAAAATAGTAATTCACTATCTCTCACACAGTCTATGCACCCACTTGATCAGATTCAGGGCTGAGTGTTCTACCTGCATAGGAGCTTTAAATTTGTCAGGTTTTGCTGGGTGGCTAGCTATGATCAGGCAGATTCTCTAAGACGCTCTGCCGCTATGTCCACATCACACACCTATTTCGCACCTATTCCAGCCACAGAGTATTACCCCCACTTTAAGACCTTCCTTTAGGCCTGCTGGCAATCTTTCTAATCAAGTCTTCTCACCAATAAATAGCACACTAAAACTCAATCTCCTCTTGGTCAGCCCCATTTCATCAGAATAGACGCTGGGAGAAGGCTCTTGCCTGCTTGCGTAATGCCACACCCGCCATACGCACATTCTGATCCAGCCTTATGTTCCCTATGTAATGTTCCCCTTTCAGTTCCACACAGTCTGTTGTCCTTTTAACGCTTTACTGCAGCCTGTTCCTCTGCTTTCCCTCTTCCATCCTCCTTGCCTCGACCTCTCAACCAATTAGGCGTCCTTATGGAATCCCACACTTTCTCCTTTAACAACTACTTCGGGAATCACTCTGGAAGATCCTGAGACTGAGAGGAATTCCAACAAGGATTATTGGACTCATAGCAAGTCTGTATACTGGTACTGAAAGTGCTGTAAAGTGTGGCGGGGGCCTGTCGAGCTTCTTTCCTGTTAGTTCAGGAGAGAGGCAAGGCTGTGTTCTTGCACCAACACTTTTCAATACTTGCATGGACTGGATACTGGGCAGAGCTACTGTTCAAAGTCATTGTGGAGCAACACTGGGCAATATCAAGGTTACAGACCTTGACTTTGCCGATTATGTTGCTATTCTATCTGAGTCTTATGGAACCCTAGTGGTGGCTCTTGATGCATTTAGTAATATAGCGAAGCCCTTGGGTCTAGAGGTCTCCTGGACCAAGACCAAGATCCAGGACTTTAGGGACTTGCTAGGAGAACCTGTTCAGTTGGTATGTGCTTGCGGTGAGGACACTGAAGTCACAGAGAGCTTTACATACCTTGGTAGTGTAGTTCATAACTCTGGGCTGTCAGACCATTAAGTCAGCAGACGGATTGGCCTGGCAGCAGGGGTCATGAACTCTTTTGACAAGAGTATTTGGAGATGCTTGTACCTGTGCAGAAGGACCAAGCTACGGGTTTTCAAGGCCCTGATAATGCCAGTTTTGCTGTATGGTATTGAAACCTGGACATTATCATGTGCCTTGGAGTCTCGTCTTGATGCCATCTGTAATAGTTCCTTGCGCCGGACCATGGGGTACTGTTGGTGGGACCACGTGTCCAACCAACGGTTGCACCGTGAGACTGGCACAGGACCTGTTACTTGCACAATCCGGGATCGCCAACTCGGGCTAAACGGCCACCTGGCTCGCTTCCCCCAGGATCTTGCCCACCAGGTTGTCTCTGTACGAGACAGCCGTGGGTGGAGGAGGCCTAGGAGGTCGTGGCTTGGGCAGATCGATCAAACCTGTCGTGAGGAGCTCGAGATGGGCCGAGTCCCTGCCTGGCGGCTTGCCATGAGGGATCCCAAAGGGTGGATGCGGCCATGCGCCCCCGTCGGCGTTAGCCCCCAGGTGATGATGAAAGTTCCCTGACTACAAGATCGGGGCTGGGAGCGGTTCTCAGGGAAGCTAGACAGGAAGAATGCAGACGAGGTTTTTCTCTCGCTACCTATTCTAAAATCTCCCCCGTTATCTTCCCCCCTAGCCTTTACTATCCTGCTTATACCCTCTCTCTCATCCAGTCAAATTCTTTTACAATTCTCAATCCATATACTCTAATCACTACCATTTCCCTGTTGTCAAACCCTTACTTTTCAAGTCGCGCCAGGCAATCTCTCCTACACCAACCATTTCCTCTGCTCCGGACACATGTCTCCTCTTCTCATCATACGAAAACCTTCGTTTCTCAGACCTCCCCACCCGCCTCCCCTCTAGAAACATATTAAGGGCATTCAAAACTTCCTAAAAATGCCATATAAGAAAACTCATCTCCCTCATTCACCCTCCAATCCCTCTACTCTCTTGATCCATCCTCCCACTCTCCCCCGATCCCCCACGCTCTCCCGACCCCCCTGCCCATCTCCCTCTGCTCCATTTCCCCCTTTTTCCTTTTTTTCTCCTTTCCTCTCCCTCCTGGATGCTCTTGTGACTTCTTTTTGTCACGTGTCCTCCACGGATCCTTCCTCATCTAACGTTCTTCCTAATCCTCCTCCTCCTCCCGCTGGTCCTTCGTCTCATTCCTCGGGTTCTCCTACTTCGACACGCATATCTACCTTTATTGCCTGTAGATTGTTCCATAACGGTTCTTTTGCCATTGTTCCTCGTGTAATGTTCCTCTTTCAGTCCGATATACTGTTTTCTTATTCCGGCTCTACTGCAGACCAAACCGCTGCTTTTCCTCCCTTGTCCTCTCTTCCCCGACCTCCCATGCTGTTGGACATCATCACGGAATCCACGACTTTTAACTCTTGACAGCTTGTTCTCCTTCCTCAGACGCAAATATACCCTGCATTTTCCCCTCTTTACCCTTTTCACGACCATAATATCCTAAAGTTGTATATGGCCTTTGACATCTAACATATTTTGTTTTAATCCTGAACCCAGTTTACCCCCTTTCGCCACAATACTTCTGGTGTTTTGTGACTTTTGATGCCCAGGACATTTATTTGTTTTAACCAGTAACTCTTAACTATTTAATGTTTTAATGTTAAATGCTTAGATAGGTATATTTATGGGGAAAATGCGACCTTTAGTAACAGGATGAAACTTAATAGTAAAGAAATGATAACAATACACAAACAAACGGACACATGTGCAAAGATATTTGTTATGATTGAGACAAGGTCACACATGTGAAAGCACATGTCCTGAC